ACTCTTGCAGTGGTTCTCCACCTGCGTTCTATCCAGGGGTCCTCAAACTTTTTAAACAGGGGGCCAGTTCACTGTCCCTCAGACTGTTGGAGGGTAGGACTATAGTTTAAAAGGACAGGCAGTGGCTAAGCAGGACAGGCAGTGGCAGCAAAAACACCTAGCAGGCTGGGTAAATGTCCTTGGCAGGACATGTGGCCCCGGGCCATAGTTTGAGGATGCCTGTTTTATGCAGACTTGAGCTTTTCTGAGTACAATGTGCATGTCCCAGTTGGGGCAGTGAGGAGAACGTTTGTCATGATACACAGGAAGAAAATCCTGAGATGGAGATGGTGCTTGGCACTCTGCCCACCCCCATACCACAGGCCCTGCTGTCTGGCCTTGAGATGGCAGAGGCAGGCCGAGTGATTTCCAAAACACCTTCAATGTCATCATTTCACTGTATTTAACAGGTCCTGACATCGACAGAGATGGTCTACCCTTGCCCAGTCTCCTTATCAAAGAAATGCTGGGATGGGCACAGCCTTGGTGCTGTCTCCTTGGCACACGGTCTCACTCCCCACCACATGGACAGGCTGAGAGTTTCCAGCTCTGAATCTCTGCTTCCCTTTTGATGATCAGTTCTACCTTTTATGTAATTCCTTCCTTCTTACATTTGGCTACAGGCAGTCAGGAGGAACCAGGCTGCAGCTTCAATGCTTTGCTTAGATATTTTCTCAGAAGTACGTCTGACTTCGTCACCCACAAACTCTACCTTCCACCGAGCATCAGAGCATAAACACAGTACAATCAAATTCATTGCCACTTCATAACAAGTACCAGAGTCCTTCTGTTGTCCAATGACATATTTCTCATTTCTGTCGGAGAGCGCATCAGAGTGGCCCTTGAGTTTCCCCTCCTCTGATCCCTCACCCAGCATCATTCTTAGTGGTCCTGCCGCAATGTCAGCTGTTTCTAGTGTAACTTCAAAACTCTTTCAGCCTCTACCCATTACTCAGTTCCAAAGCCATCTCTGCATATTCCTGAGTATTTATTATATCATCATCCCGATTTATCAGCATAATTTTCCTCAGTCCATTTGGGCTGCTTTAACAAAATGCCAGACTTGGTGGCTTATAAGCAACGTTAAGGATTTCAACAGGAACATTGGGGGAGCATCTTCATTCAAACCATCAGGTTACTCGGTTCTAAGCATTTCTCAACACTGCACTGAAGACAATATTTCATAACTACCCAAGAACCAAGGAAAATAACTTCTTAGCATTTGAGTTAGACAAAGGCTGATCACTAATATGTTTTCTTTAATTCTTGGCATGTATGGGTATATAGAGCAAATACTTGAAGATGTATGTACACATAAAATTATATATATGAGAAATATATGAGCTATGTATTATATAAAGTCATATAATTATGTGTACTAGATCATATAAACTATATATTAGATTAGATATGTAATTTGATGTATTATACATATAGTAATATATAACATATACCCTGTATATATATCACCATCAACAGCCAGAATCATTAGCAATAACAATGAAAATGTAATTCCAAATACTGTCTTAGACACTAATACTGAATAAAATAATATCATCTAGGGAACTTGAAGCACCCTAAATAAAGTCCTCTTGTTTTCTCTTTAATTATCCTTCAAATGATTCTTAACTACCCATTTCCAAGTAATTGCATGGATTAAAGTCCACTTTTGTTGTTTTGAAATCTATATCTCTTATTTGGAATATTTTGATGTCAATGAATGAAGACTTAATCTAACCCAAACACTTTAGCACATGATGAATTTGATTCTAGGTATACATGAGGTCAGATAATCAAGTTCACAAACCCATTCTGGAAAAAGTGGGAAAGTGCTACATACCTGATTACTGTACTAGCATGACAGTAATTTTCTAAACACTCCCTTTTGGAAGCCATGCACTGACACCAGCGCCCAGTCTACTCTTCCAAGCAATTTTGGAACTCTTTGGCCATCGGAGGTGTCACTATACAAGGTCTGAAAACTATGTTCATGACCTCATCCTAGAGGAGTGTTTCCAATTGTCTAACCATATATATCTATATATTATACATATATAATAGTAGAACTCTGCACAATTTTAGCCAGTGAAGAGAAATGAAACATTTTGGCAAAACTACATAGTCTCTTTGGACTACTATAACAGAATAGCATCAGTTAGCTTATAAACAATAGAAATTCTTTTCTCACCATTCTGGAGACTGTGAAGTCCAAGATCAAGGTGCAGCAGATACAGCATCTGGTTAGGGCCCACTTCCTGGTTCAGGCTCAAACTTTCTGGCTCTGTGCTTACACAGTAGAAAGGGCACTGTCCCTGTGTGGACCCTCTGCAGGAAAGCACTACTCCCATTGAGGAGTGCTCCCATCATTGCCTTTCTGATCTACTCACCTTCCAAGTGCCCATGTCTACTACCCTGACATTGGTGATTAGATTTTTAGCATATGAATTTGGGGAGGATAGAAGATTAAGCTGGCAACATGACACACAGGATAAACTTGCTTCAGTAGGAGCTTATTGTAAATTTATGAGATTATCACAGAGAACGACATTGTAATACTCGACATTTGAAGAGAGTGATTATTCATCCACCTTACAGGAACAAAAGGAGTTGAGTGCCCTTTTTTTCCACGTAGGAAGAATGCCCTGTCTTCAGAATTACTCATTTAAAAGTCCACCACTTGAATGACTTCCTAAGATCAATTAACCATATGAATTGAAACTCTATTTTTGTTTCAAATAGACATAGTTCTAATGATAGATGCATAGAATGAAAAAATTCGCTATTTCTTATGGTATATGTAGATATTTTAAGACTAAAAAAAATCCATTTTAGTGTTGAAAGGGGGTCTTTGGTGTTAATTCTCCTCTGTCTAACACAGATGTTTTTCCACTACAATTTTTGTCAGATGACAATCCATTATCAGATTAGCTCGCCTCTCTATTCATAGTTTATATACTTCATAGAGATCCATTCCGATTTTTAATATCACAGCTCACAAGCTAGACATTGTCCTTTAGATTACACTCAAAAGCTTCCTTTCCTGTATACTTTCAAACATTGATCTTACCTTTGAGATACCAATCTATAAGTGTAAGTAATTATCACATTTTGAACAATAACAACCACCACAGCCTAAAGTAAATATTTCTTTGTCTCTGGCATGATATCATGATTCTAGATACTTCTGTAACCTCGTCAGCCTCTGGCCTTCATTAATAACACCCAGAAAAATACAGACAATGCCTTTTGCATTTCACTAGTGCTGTTTCCCATGAGATTATTATTAACATATTTACACACTTACTGTTCTTTCTTTAATGTAGGTTACTACAATGCAAGATGATGGTTGTCAATTACAATGAAAATATCAGCTCATGTCAATTTTGAATGAAATAAAATCATAGAAAGTTTGAGGAATCAGGGTTCCCATACGCTATCATTAAGTTGATTTTTTTAAAGATTAACAAATATATTTATATGTCACTACTATATTTTATCGTATGGGTTTGATACAAATTATGAATTTTTATTATATTAAAAATTATTATATCACCTCACATATTAGCTTGCTCTTCCATATTTTTGTCACTTAAATCGCTAAGATTTCTCAATATATTATCCAAAACTGGTGAGACAGGGACTGTTTACAGAACCTTGAGATTTCTTCACCAAAGAAAAAATTCCTTGACTTTGGTAGAGCAATCAGTAATGCAACAGCAACAACAAAAATCTTATTGCCTGAATTTCTTCATATTTTATTCAAGAAAATGGCATTTTTTCTGCCCCAAATACTGTGTTGAAATAAAGATGCATTACTTCTGATATTTTAATCAACGACTAAAATAAAGACATAGATAGCAATACAGTGTTTAAATCTGACACAAAGCTGGAAGAGAGATTTAACACCCTTGATGATGGTATCAAGATTTGGAAAAATAAAATGATATTTAGAGTTCTGGTCCTTAGAATTCCTCAACTGTTCAGAGAGAGATTTAAAGTCAAAACTATTTATTCACTATATTAAAGAATTTTCTAATACATTTAACATTTATGAATTTAAAAAACATGCTGATTGCTTTGCTGCTGACAATAAGAAAAATACTTGAAATTTAAAAAATATTTTATTACCTTCTCTAATTACACAAAAACATCTAGTCGCAAAACACAGGGTGCTTATGGCCTAAAGCCGTATTTCTCAGGATTATTTTTCATTTGCATCAATTTGAGACACACGAGATACTCAGAAATTCTAAAGAATACCCCAAATATATCTATTAGTATGACTTATTATTTGTCAGGATATAATTTTCTAAAATTCCTGTGTTTTGCATTTTACTCTGTGTATGACCCACTGTGCCAGTTTGAATATTTTCTGGAACTTTTTTCTGTGGCTGTCTGCTCAGATGATTTTCTCTCCTCGCCTACTTTAAACGGAACTCTGTAGTTACAAACCTGTTTGAAATCAGTGGACCTGCAGGAAAAGCTTATAAAGAGAAACTACCAGCTTTATTTTTTGCAGTTCTTGGCCGGGGCTGGGTTTGAACCCACCACCTCCGGCATATGGGGCCGGCACCCCACTCCTTTGAGCCACAGGAGCCGCCCTAATACCAAATACTTTTATGCAGGTTTTTCTTTAAAGGTTTAAAATCAAACTCAACTCTGCAGCATCGGTTCCACATGCTTCGTAAGAGCTAAAGATAAACAGACTTCATCATTTCCTGGTTGAACACCACGAACTGTCCTAAGCGAGGCCGTGGTGCTTATGCTGAGATAAGGGAACCAAATGTAGCATGTCACGTTCTCCTGCCAATTAATCAAAAAGAGGGAAAGGGAATCTCACCAGTGATTTTTAACAACTTATTGGGGAAGACCCTGCTGTGCTCAAACTAAGTACACACCATTAACAGCCAGGAGCCGGCGCCCTGAACCTGTCTGAAGCAGAAAGTGTAGCGGAGTCTTACGTTCTTGGAAGGACGTGAAGAGCATCTGGAAGCGGCTGTTGCGGCTGCCCTCGTCCGCCCACATGCGGATCACCCCGAGGCCCGTGCGCAGCATCACGTCGTTGGCCACCGTGCTGCAGAACTTAGCCTTCAGGTCCTCCACCGAGCTGCTTCCGTCATACACAGCCACAAAATTCCTCTTGCATTCATTTGAGTTCTGCATCTCATAGTCCAAGAACCGTAAGTAAATCTGTAAAGCAAAGATAAAACAATTTCCCCACATCAAAAGACGAATGCAAATCAGTCGGTAGCCGAGCTCCTCTTCTCCTTTTCAATCTCACAAGACAATCTTGATTGCAATCAATCTTAGTGTTTTCCTTCAGTGGATACAAGGGAGCTGTACAAGCAGAGAACAAATTGATGTATTTTGAAATGTTTCTAAATAAATGTCGTAGCCGTCGAAGCTGAGTACTTCTACCCAAATGATCCTGCCGTCTCCCATAACTCACTTGGAATCAGCCTCGCATTTTGCACACGTGTACACTGTTCTGATTAGCAAAACATGTTTTAAATATGCCTGCTACATTCTGGTTAAAGTTCCATGGCTTAAAAAAAACCTCTTTGGAACGTTTAGTAATACATAATTCGTATTAACACCAAAGGAAAAAAAAAAGTGATGTTAAGTCTCTGATTTCAGTTTGTTTAAATTATTTAATAAAAACATGCTACTTCCTTTTTGGTGCATCGTAATTTTTTTTAAAAGGCCAAGCCAGTATTGACCATTCTTGCCATACATAGAGTCACACCATTATCTAAGTTGACATAAATACAAATTAAACTAATATTTAATGAATAAGACATGCCAGGCATCCCGCTTTATATGAGGCATTTTTTTTAATACTTCCAACAACTCTATCAAGTGGCTCATTTAATTTTCATATTCAGATGAGGAAGCTCGGACTCAGATGGTATAAATTGGAAATTAGACATGAGGACCCTCTGAGTTGCTAGCCATAATCCTTCCACCATGATGCACAGCTTCAGATGTAGTGATTTGTTTAGATCAACTGACATTATTTGACTCTCTAAAGATGTGCATTAAAGATCACAAATAGTTAATTCAACCAAAGATAAGTCGATAAAGAAGTTGTTTGTTCTTCCATCCATCAACTCAGCAATATCCACAAGCTTGGCCTTTACTTTGCTGCAGAAACTAATACGTCATTGTGGGTAGGACTGAGGACTGGACAGTGAGGGCCAGTGCTGAAAAGCTGCTTCAGTTAACTCATGACACCAGGATTCAAAGTCAAACTGTTGGAGTTACATAAAGCCAAAAATCTCTGCACAATAAGAGGTATACCTTGAACAAGTTTGGAATAAAGAAAGTGTCCCTTACGCAGGTATCTCCTAAGTGTTTCATATTTTATTTTAATAGGAATGCATGTAGGCTACTTCCTCTTAAGTGTTTTTTTCTTAACATGACATGGATATAAACTAAACACATACGTTCAATTAAAAATTCATCTTTTCATCACCCCTTATACATTGTTTCTTATTTCATAAAATGAGAAATTCAAGGGGCAATTTTTCCCAGATACAGTATGTTTGCTCTAAATTTTAAAATGTCACTATTTAATTAATAAAAGGGTATCGTTTGCCCTCAGTGTTCTTGTTCAGCGGGGCACTAGTCATTGCCAATTTCATCTTCAAAATATTTGTTTTCCAGCTCCCCCGACACATCCGTGATATTTCACATCTGCTGACCAGCCTGGGTGTTTGAAGCGACACGTTCTTCTACTCACAAAACTCACCCCAGCCTAAGTTATATTTCTAAGGAACAAATCTAACAATAGCACTCTTTTAGCCAAAGTTTTTAACTGGTACATTATAAAAAAGTAAAAAACAATAAACTGGCTCATTACCCCTTCCTTATCTCAACATCACATACTGACGTCCCCTTTCACTCAAATCCAAAGAACCTGCTCTGCATTAAAGGGCCTCTGTGATTAGACCAGGTTCACCCCGTTCATCTACCTTCTACTTAAACCAAAGTCAGCTGGTTGTTAACCTTCATCACAACAGCAAAATTCCTTTAGCTGCGTGACTTGCATAATCAGCTGTATGACATTTTATCATATTCACAACTCCAGGGGTTGGGGCTGGAAATCTTGGTACCCTCTAAGGATTCTCCCTATAACATTTACATTCAACGTACACGTTTAAGAAATTTCAATGCCTGTAACACAACATTACTATAAACTTACATTGACTTTTAGGTACATTTGATTATAATTTGGCTCCACATATTTTTGAATTAGGTAAAAAAAATAAAAATTATTTTGAAATATTAAAAGATGGGAAAATAGTAACAGCGAGAGTTTTTATTATCTCAAAACATTAACCATTAAGTTGATTACCCTCATTTGCATATTTTTATAATGTATTATAAAATGTATTGTATTTCAGAAATACATGACTGTATTTCTGATACTTAGCAAATACATGATGTATGTGTTAGGCAGATTGATTTAATCATTCTACAATGGAAACATATATCAAAACATCACATTCTACTTATAAACAATTATTAACTTTCAATCAACATTACATTTCAAAACTATTAAAAATTAAAAGTAAAACTTGATTATAACATCAAATAATAGTGTGGTTTTATTACAGCAAATTGTACCAAGAGTTATGAGGTGTTTATCTTGCTCCAACTCTATTGCTAACCGGCCAAATGTCTGGGCAGGTCACTTATCACAGATTCATAGAATTTGGGTTTTGAAAGGACTTTCATGGTACCCATGCCAGAACACTACTTGACTTTAATTATTATGTAAAATCTCTGCCAAACTCTGCTTGGACTCTCCTGTGGAATCTCATTTGATCTCCGTTAATAAAACAACAACCTTCTCTGTATTAAATCAAAATCTGTTTCTCTAGTTTCAATTATTCAAATAAATTGTACTACTTAAAAACTATGCACATTAAATCTTATTCCTCTTCATATGACTGTACTTCAAATGTTTGATGATTACGGGATGTCGTTTCTTGTAGAAGGACATTAGTTCATTTATTCTCTGAGTATTAGTTAAACAGCAGACATTCTGTTTGTCACTGGGTGTCTGGAGATAAATCAGGCTGAGCCCTCATGGAAGTAAGGTTCAAACAGCTAGATTCCTCTCCCTTCATTCTCGCCTGCTGGCTGTCTTCTGGACCACATTCAGAATGAGATACTGTAATGCCCTTCCGCCATCTTGCTTTAGTGTGTGTGTGTGCAAAATCCCTGCTCACAGAGGCATATTTATACACCCCATTGTTACCCTACACTGAACTTCACTATCCTGACTCAGCTTATCTTACAAACATTCCAGACAGCAACAGACTTTCAATGTTCTTTCTGACTTTGGTTTCCCAAATTCTAAGAAATCTGCACGTGATCAATCACATTCTAATTAAAGGGGACCATCTATGTCACTATTATCAAATCAAGGAGTTATTGGTTATTATTGGTTCTATTTGTCAAAAGACGGAAAAGCACTATGTAATTTATCTAAACTTCAACAGAACCCAAGTAAGCTGTCTGGCCCTTGTGCAATATGGTTCAGTCACCAGGCACCGTTCAAATATTCACCACAAGCCTTTTCAAGTTTAAAGCATGCTATGATAGTCTCTGCTCCTAAGCTGCTAGGAACTCCATAAAAATAGAAAGCCCGCACAGGCGGTAATGGCAGTTCTTGCTTTTCTCCACAGTATTCAAAGCCACTTCCGATCCTCTAACCTTTAATTTAACAGAGAAAGCCTGTCACAATAGAGCCATCTTTGTCCGGCTCTGCAGGCTGCTTACCCTTTGGGTCAGGGAATGCCAAATTTTGTAACAGACAGGTACACCCGCTATTGTTGTTCTGAGATTGTACAAAAGACTGCCTATTTATCAGCTGGAGAAAAAGGTATTTACACTCTGATGAACTCTTTCTCTTTAACACTCTAGTGACAAAGGTGCTGGTTATGACAGTGACATGAGGCACGTATCTTTCCTGTTAAAGACAAGTCTGATAAAAATCTGTCACTGGGTTGCTTCAGAAAAACAAACACCACCTGGATGTGAATACATGTTTTATGAACGAGGGTGTAGTCAACTGAAATTCTGCTCTCCATCCAGGTAGTGGGTTATTTATGGTTTTATATTACCAACAGCTTTTGACTAAAAAAAAAAAAAAAAAAGAAGTATGCTTTTCTTCATAATGCGTTTAATGTTTCCAAAGATTTGCTCAGATGCCAAAGGAGATTGCAGTGTTATAGCTGGAACCTGGACCAAAAATCTCTGGAACTCTGTAATCGAAAATTAGGGAAAATACACCACAGTTGCATTTTATATGTGAATGCTAGAAATATATTCAAGGAAGAAACAAGGGAAGAGAGACAAAAACGTTTCCTGAAACATCAATGCCCTCAACAGTGCTGCTTCTTTTTTTTCTTAGCCTGAATATCCACTCACCAGATTCTGCTCCCGCTCGGGAATGATGTCGCAGACCATGAAGGAACCTCAGACACTGGGGTTACTGCCATAGCTTCCTACCTGGTCTTCTGCTTGCTGTGTTGACTCCCTGTCTTTTCCTCAAAGGGAAAAGCTATTCTCCTAAAATGCAAGTCTGGCTATGTCACTTTTCTGCTTCATTCTTCTGTATATCGCTAACGCACTCAGGGAGAAGACCAAGTTCTTCAGGACGGCCCGCAGAGCCCTTCAGCATAATGACTCAACATCCACCCCCATCTCTCCGCTTTTACTTGGTCACCTGCAATTACTTTCCTTCCTGAAAAAGCATAGTCTCTTCTGAGTCCATGACCTCACACTGCCACTCTGTCTACCCAGACAGACTTCTTGCCTCCTCTACCTAACACAATAATACTGTTTCTCACGGACATTCAGCCAAGACCCTGATTGCTATTTGGTTCTGCCTCTGATGTACCTGCCAGGTGTAGCACTCACTTCTCTCCCTCTCTTATGCCTAATAAATACCTCAATGATATTATCTTGTGGCTTAATTTGTTACATAATTTTCTAGGAATTAAACTAAAAACCTAAATGCTTGAGATTGTATAGATTCACTAAAGCAATTAATTAAATTCAAACCATTTCAACTTCATAGTCAACTACTAATCTAATATCCATAAATCCATGTCTCCTTATCAGTTTAGAGCTGAGAAATAAGAAAACAAGAAGAACAAGCAAACAATCGATGCTGTATACTCATGACAGCTAAAATAATGATCCACGATATCTTGGAAGATATTTCCATAAGCAAGATGAGTATCTATTTCATCCTATTCTACAGAAGAGTTTCCAAAATGGTGGCCTGATTCCAAATCTGGCCCATGACACATTTACTTAAATACAAATCATACTTGTGATTTTTACAATGTATTGAAACATATAAATATTGGGGTGATCAACATAAAATCTACAGTTCTGTTGTCATATTAAAAACAGAGGATGTAGTAATGCAGGACCCACATTTTCTCATAACCACAAAGACAAAGAACTCATGAGTGCAGGCCCTGAGTACTGGCTCCCCTGGGTCCTGTCATCTCTGGCCCTCAGCCCTGTGACACCTGTATTTTATATGCCAGACACACAAGACTTTGTCAGCCCCAGATAATTTCTTCCACAGATAAGACTTTACGTCAGAAAACAAACAAATGGCAAAGAGCGTCTGTAAGAGTGTAGATGTAATTATGCTTAGAACCATGGTTCTTGACATTTTGATCCATTTTTCAGAGTGTAGATTTACCTTAAAGTCTATTGTCCAGGTTATCAAATGATGTCTTTGACACACTCTCCATATTGTTATTTATAACATTCAGAGTAAATGGGTCAGGAGAAGATAAGGTGCATTTCGAAGCCAAAACAAAGTCATAGCTTATGATTGCCTCTGAAATATACTAAGCATGTCCAGCTGCTTCAAAGCAATGTGTATTAGAGACACTTCTCCAGTCCCCCGTACGAGCCTAGATTCAACAGTAAGACTGACCTTGGACCGTGGAGGCGCCCGGATGTACCACTTGCAGTCCACGGCCTCGCTGGCAGAGGCTTTGCCTTCCTTCATGATCTGCATGGACTCCACAATTCCTTCCGGGCCGCCCATCTCAAACTCACACGCTAAAGAAGAAAATGCCAAACAAACACACACACATGGAACTTGAATAATAAACCCAAAGTGTATTTCATAGCAAAATACAAAGTCCTGTGTACATTATTAAATATCTATTGTACCAACCTGGTAATGGTTTCAAAACTCCAAGGTCCTTAAAATCAGGATCTTAAAAAGTGAGAAAAAGACAATTAGTCCTAGTCTATATTTAGTACTTACAATGACTTTGAGTAATATTCCATTACATTTTCCAGGATTCTGCCTTAAAAATACATCGGAGGAAATTAAATAGCTAAATAAAAGGTGAAGGATAGTATTAGGACTAAAAGTGTTAATTTAATATAATATAGCTTCACTATAAGGCTTTTCTCAATACAAAAGACACCTTCTTAAAAAACCTTCTAATGCAATTCCTGGATCTAAATATCAAACCAAAATCTGACTCATTTCCTATAACTCCATAATTAGACAAAAGATGTTTTTGTAAATGTACCCATGGGTAATTCAAGGTTTTGGTCAACTTCTGTATGTTCTGGGTCCAATTCTTTTGTCTGATTCAAAACATTCTGTTATTGGAAAACAATTTTCAACTAGAATATTGGAAGCACACAGTTAAGATGTGAAATCTAGGACTCTCTTGATGACTGAACTATCTTTTTTTCATCAAATCTTCATCTCTAACTTTTCACACCATGCTTCTTTCAAAGTATTCCTCAGGATTCTATCTTATCGACTTAACACCCCCTCTCTCCATTCTTCCTCTGAGCTAGGACCTTTTTCTCTGCTTATTTATGTGTTTCAGGAGAAGCTTGCTTTATCATAACCCTCAAAATTCTCCCAAATACCATAAGCCAATAATGAGGACAAAAAAAAAAGGACACTTCTTGTACTTGATTTTGAGTTAGGTGTTCAGCACTGAAGTGTAAAGGTAAGACTTTGAGATAAACTTTAAATCATAACAGACAGAAACAAGGTATATCCAGTTTTTCTGGCTTGCATTATAGTCAACCGTACGATAGTCTCCAATATTTGTCGCAGAGAGGATCTTGTACCTAGAAAACCCCAAAGACTCCATCAAGAGACTCTTACAATTGACAAATTCAGCAAAGTCCCAAAATAAAAAAATCAAGGTATTAAATCAGGATCATTTCTGTACACTAATAACAGCCAAGCAGCTGAAAACAAACCAAAGACACAATACTGTTCATAATAGCTACAAAGAAAATAAAACACCTAAAAATACACTTAGCCAAGGTGAATGATCTCAACCAAACACTGATGAGTGAAACTGCAAAGGCCGCCAATGGGAGAACACGTCAGGCTCGTGGATGGGTGGACTCAGCATTGTTAAAATGTCCTTACCACCCCAAATGATTTACAGACACAGTGCAATCCTCATCAAAATACCAACGTCACAATTCACAGGCCTAGGAAAAATAATGCTGTGCTTCACGGGAACCGGAAAAGAGTCCATGCTCTAGAACTGAAATATGAGAAGGCAGCACTCTTTCTGGTAGGAGTTATTTCTTGACGCTAAGAGCATGTGTGTTTACACGTATGTGTGTCACTAAATGTGCTACTTTCTGTGTCTGTGTGCATGGATGCACTAAACTCATCATTGCAGGCTAATTTCTGACAGTTTCGTTTTTTTTTTTTTTTTTTTGGTAGAGACAGAGTTTCACTTTGTTGCCCTTGGTAGAGTGCTGTGGCGTCATAGCTCACAACAACCTCCAACTCCTGGGCTTAGATGATTCTCTTGCCTCAACCTCCCGAGTAGTTGGGACTACAGGTGCCTGTCACAATGCCCAGCTATTTTTTCGTTGCAGTTTGGCAGGGGCCAGGTCCGAACCTGCCACCCTGGGCACATGGGGCTGGCGTCCTACCCACTAGGCCATAGGCACTGCCCCAAGTTTAGTCATTTTCATGAGAGATTATTTTGTTGTTTTTATGTCTGTTGTTTTCTCAAATAGGGGTGTGAACTGATTTGCTGAAACACTGAGGCCTTAATCAGCCATGCTACGATGTGACTATATCAGATGAGACTCATTTTGTTATAGGACACTCTCAGAAATTGCTAATAAATTTTGAATCAAGATGCAAATTCATTTACATAGCTGTTTTGAAAAGAGTTTTTAAAAATGTTTTTAGAAAAACAAAGAAAGTAAAAAGCTATAAGCAATTTCCATGAAGGATACAGAAATGATGACGTCATAGATAATTTAGACCAAGATAAATCCTAGCAGGAATTTTTTCCTTTGTCTGAATCAATGAATACAGAGTCATTCGTTCAATAAATATATTTTTAACACGTATGTGTACAGCTAGGTTTTTATAGAACCACTAAATTGGTTGTCACCATTAAGCCGTGTCATTGGCATTGAAGGGACACATGCACATCTTACCTGGATCGATCCACATTTTATATCAAGTTTGACAATACCAGTTATCTACATTTTCTTTGTTATTCACTGCACGATTTTTGCTGTAAGAATAATGCTTACTTCTGTTCATTGTAACACTTATTATCTCCTTTTTGAATAGAATGTTTCAGCCTTCTTCCATGGCTGTTCCCATGATTTTTGTGGAAATGTAGTTGATATTCTGTTTTCTTGTTTGAAGGCTAACATTTGTCATTTTTATAACCCATGCCAGACAATGCTGAGAGAAATGTCAGTTCTGGGAATTGAAAATTTATTTTTGTCTTTGTGTTATTAGTGATAGTACTGATGGTTTAAAAACAAAACTTTAGAAAAAAATTGTTTTTGAAAATCCATTTATACTAGCCTCTAGTAAGAGCACAATTATAGATGGCCCACATGATTAGCAAAAACAAACAAACAACAAAATGCTGTTTCTGAAACAATCTGAAATGAGTCTAATGTGGTAAGACAGACTGACCGCCCTCAGTGGTTCGTAGATAGTGACGTGAATTATTATGCAGTTGCACAAGAAAGTGGTATTTAATAACTGGTCTTTTCCTCTAGATCTTTCTTTAAATGCATTCCCCACTAAGCAACTTAAATAAACTTTTAAAAATGTAAATTAGATCATGGCACTCACTTGGCTCTGCAGTTCCTTTAGAATAATGTTTTATAACACCCACTGTGTCCTGCCCCTGACCCCCTGGCTCCATGCTGCTGGCCCTTACTCTTTTCTCTGTGATCACACCAACACTCAAGGCCGTTCCCACCCTCGGCCCTTTGAACATGCTCCTTCATCTGGCTGCAGTGCCTCTGCACACAGGATTCACATGCCTGGCTCTTTCTCATTCTGCAGTGGTTGGCTCAAATATTATGTCCTCTGAAAGGCATTCCTTGACAATTCTCTCTCAAACAACATCTCCTGTTTTCTTTTCTCTCTTCATGGTTCTTAATACAAAAAGAAAGCATTACCACCTTGTCTTTAAAACCTTTATTTTATCTATGTAATGGACAAATGTGCAGACATGAGTGGGTTTAAAAAAAAAAATTAAACCGGTTCAGCGCTAACACAGGCCTATCACCAGCTACCATCTTTTATGTGCATGCTTGCCAACAAATGCAATTAGTGTTGGAATATTCATGTTTTTGAGGAATTTTTCAATCTATAGCTCATACTAGATTGCACTGATGATGAAAAAGCAGTGGTGTGTAAAATTGCTGATGTCTTAGAGATGAACCAGGGTAGTGCCAAGTAGCTAAAATTTACTGAAGAATTCTTTCCTATGTATTTGCAAGGCAAGAAAAAAAAGGAATTTTACTTTACATCATTTAACTAGATGAAGCAGTAAAGAATATTTTTTTTAAATCTAAAATCTTGAGTAAATGCCTTAGTCATCCTGCGTGATGAAACATTAAATGTGGATAAAGTACTTTTGCTACAGAACGACCAGTAAGAGGGTCCTCTGAAGAGAAAGCATCTCGGCTTTTCCATTGAAAACCGATTCAGCTTCCATTGAAGCCAATTGGGAGCTGAAGTAGCCACTTCTATCACGGAGCATTCTTTTTCTTTGAAAGATCTATATAGCTATTCAGATACAGATATTTGGCAGACATTTTCTTGAAAAATGAACCAAATAGATCTGTTGATTCCTAAGAAAAACAACTGATAATATTTGTTGCCAACGATAAAATTCCAAATTCAAGGAAAAGAAAGATATTTGCCACTGTGCAGTTGACAACTTCCCAATACTTAGGAGAATTTTCAAATGAGGTTGGCACTGATAGGAATATAGGTGGGTTTTTATATTGTATGAAGAAATGTGTCAACATTTGGAAGTTCTTCATAATAGTAATTCAATAATGCCAAATGAATAGTTCATAATGTTAAACAATCACGTGTTCATAAAAGAGCCATTTGAAAAGGAAAGTATAGGCTTGGTGACTGTGGCTCAAGCAGCTAAGGCGCCAGCCACATACACCTAAGGTGGCGGGTTCGAATCCAGCCTGGGCCCGCCAAACAACAATAATGGCTGCAAC